TTCGTACCCGGGGCTGCTCTATCGGGAAGGACTTCAATATCGAGAAGGCCTCCACCCAACAGGACCGAGGCGAGGGAGCGTGGAGGTACATATGCTCCTTTACTGAGGAAACGCTACCCACAGTCTGGGTAGACTGTAACTGGGAGGGCAAGGAGGTGGTCGTCCTCGGACCCAATGACGACTGCACCACTTACGTGGAGGGGTATTTAAGTATTTACACTTACCCCTTCATGCTCGCCTTGGTGGACCCCATAGTCCTCGACTTTTGCAAAAGGTACAAGGTCTGCCTTGGGCAGGTTTACCCGTCCTTTTGGAGGATCGTAATCCTCCTCTTACACTTCGTGAACAACACTGAAGCACCTCGGTTCACCCTCGACTATCTGCTTCGTCTATACAGTGCCCGAATCTTCTGAGGGGGTTGATCAAGCTCGTTCGCTGAGCAAGCAAGTCTTCGTTCTCGAGCATCGATGATGACCGAGACTGAGGCTGGCAGGGGAGGTTCGTTCGAGTGAAAATCGAAGACCTCACCCCTTTCGAATTTCTATCGTTCCCGGAGAAATGGAACACCTCCCATAAGTCTTTTCCTTCTCGAGTATTTGGCATTCCTTTTATTATTTTTCTAGTTGCCTATGTTTGTTGTTGTGCAAAAGTTGTCCAAGTTCCTAATGCAGTCCCCCGCTTCAAGAAGTGGATCGAGGGGATCTGCAACAGATGCCATACTCCGAGCGCAAATGACGCAAGCTCTCGAAGGGCAAGTGGGAGGCCCTTTCCCCTGGTGAGGCTCTCTCTAGAATGATTACCTTCATATTCTTGGCTGACACATCGGTAAGTCTTCTTTCTTCTTACAGGTTTGCCCAAGACCACCGAGCTCAGGCCATTGGATGAGGACGAGGATCCGTCCTTGTTTGCCGAACCCTCCGCTTCGGGACAGCCCGGAGCTTCCGCAAAGGAGGAGAAGAAGAAGAAGAAGAAAAAGAAGAAGAAGAAGAAGAAGAAAAAGAAGAAGAAGAAGAAGAAGAAGAAGAAGAAGAAGAAGAAGAAGAAGAAGAAGAAGAAGAAGAGAAAGCCTTAGTGCTCTCCGGACGCCGAGGCGAAGAAAAAGAGGGTGACCATCTGGGTCCGAAAAAGCAAAAAGAGCACCAAGCCCAGGGTATCGGACTCTGATTCTCTCTACCAGCTCAGGGATTTTCCCGAGGATGACGACCTTGAGTTCATTGCTCATGAGTCTACCCTCAACGAGGGGGAGCAGGCGGCAATCGGAAAAGGTGACCACGAGGTCGATCCCCCTCTACTCAGGAACCAGAGGGAGAGACGGAGGCTGCAGCCTCCCGAGAAGCTGCTCCTGTCCTGAGTCCATGATCGAAGAGGCTCAAGCGGGTAAAGAGAAATCAAACGAGACAGCACCGGGCCCAGATGATTCCCTCAAACGTTCTTCGATGGCATGGATGTGGCCATGTTGGCGGATTTTTTCGGGCTTGGTCACCTGAAGGTCCCAAAAAAGGATATGCCATCGGGAGCGGGCGAACTAAGCTCGAGCCCGAAACTAGTGAAGCAGTTCACTGCCCTGAGTGTGGACCTCGACCGTAACAGAACGATCGTTCTCATTATCCTAGCGGATGCCTGGGTCCTGTCCACTCCGGTGGGCATAGCTAGCTACCTTCGGTTCCTGGTGACCGAAGCAAAGATGAACGAAGTAGGCACGTAGAGCCTCTTCAATGAGGCGCAACAGGCACTGAACCGGGTAAGGCATCTACCCTTCGTGCCCCTTGCAAATCTTGCTTAGTTTTAGACATGTTCTAATGACTTCATAATTTTTCAGGCTCCAGTGCTTCACCATGAAAGCTTCCTTCGGTCCCGATTGGAGATCAGCCAGCTCGAGTTCGAGATCAAAGAGCAAGTCCGAAAGAAATACATGTACAGGGCTCTCAGTGAACAACAAGATGAGGCTCTCAAGGACCTCCCAATTCTTCGAGCCGAGCTGGAAAAGGCTCAGAAGGAGGCCTTGTCCGTGAAGAGGGAGCATGCTGACCTGGTCGAGAAGGTAAGGATCTTTGAGGCTAAAAACGAGAAGCTACTCGTGGTGACTAACAACGCAACTTCACAGGTCCAAGAGAAAGTAGACCTGATCGACCAGCTTCGGGCTGAGATGGATGAGGTCAAGGCCACGACTAAGGCATGGAAGGGCAGGATGGACCAGTTGGCTTCAAAAAAAGAGACTGCAAAAGCAGAGCTGGCATCGGTCAAGGACCAACTCCGAGTGGCAAAAGACAAGGCCGATAAGTGGTCTCGGCTAAATGATGAACTCCGGACACAGCTGAGCTCAGCCATCACAAAATGGGATGCCCTCAGCCAAGAATATGCCGCGTTGAGGTCCAAGTTGGAGGCAACTTCTATTGATTCCTCCGACGTCGAGGAAATGCTCGCACAGTATATAGCTGACGTGGAGATTGCCGAGGCCCGCTTAAAGACAAAAGACTGAGTATGTAAAGCGGCTATCCCGGAGAGAGACCCACGAGGAGATCCATGCCCGAGGTTTTGACCTGTCGGCCGAGATTGAAGAAGCCAAGAGACTTGAGGCCGATGCAAAGGAACTCTATGAGCCTGAGGGTCCCGAAGGCTCCGAGGGTTCCGACGATTCTGGTGACGAGTCGAGCCTTGGTGAAGACCAGGCATAAATTCCTTTCTTTTTTAGTTTTTCCTTGTATATTTTCTTTTTGACATATTATGAGGCCGTTTTATCTTGTCTTTGTAAATATTTTTTGGAATATATAAAATTATTATTTTTGACGTGATGGCCAGACTTAGAGTCAACGTTCAAGTGAGCAGACTGTGAGTTTGTGCGATTGAATGGCATATTTCAATGATGAAGAAAAAAGTCTTGTTCTCTTTTCATTTGACATTCTGAGGCTGATCTGAGATCAGATTTCAAAGAATAAACATAAAATAGGGTGAGTTAGGGAGATTCATATTAAATTACCATTATTATCCTTAGCCTACGGTGGGCACCAAATTGTTTACCCCAAAATTAGGTAACATATAAATTTGTATGCAGTTTAAAGGATGCGTGGTTTAATTCAACACGAATAATTAAGAATAATAGATAAATGAATTAAATATGAAATAAATGATCAAACCAATCGCAATGTTATGGCCAGGCCTGATCTTAGATTGAACAACGACCTCGTCCTCAACTGAATACTCGGTTCGAGCCCAGTTGTGAATGAAGAACAATACAAGTGAGCAAAGTTCTTAACAGTAGCTAGAAGGTAAAAATAAACTTTTATTGCCTTGAATTGTGTGTTACAATGTGTCAAATCAAAGAAAATCTTCCCCTTTATATAATAGGAGAATTTCAGTCCTAATACAAGTCTAAAAGAGGTAAGAATCTTCTTTTTTCCGGTAATTATTGATCCATAATTGATTCTGAACGAGACTCGCGCCACAATGTCCGATTAAGGGCGATTATTACGGCCCCCTATCAGTCGTGCATAACCGTGTGCCGTGTCTTTCGAGGTCTAGAAGTTATACTCGATCCGGGATGCGTCACTTTACCGTGTCCGATATCGGATATATCGTTCACCCTGCCCAGGTCTCGTTACCATGGGTCTCTAGCCCCGATTACAATCTTGCGGATCCGTATTCCCTCTTTGTTCTTTCATCGGGGAATTGGGGTAGACATTATCCCCGATTTTACCCGTACACGATATCGAAATTTATAAAAGTATAGAAATAAGAACTTTAATTATCATATTTCTAAATAGTATATAGCTTTAGCCCATTAGTTTTGTTGAGTCTTATGTTAGAAATTAAAAGATCATGAGTTCAATTCTACTTAGTCATAATTTTTAATCATAGAGGCTCTCTCAAATATTTGCAAAAGGTATGTGTTAGCTGCGATTCAAATCTTTGACCTCTTAGAGCAAAATCAGGCACATAACTAATGCGTCGGGAGACAATTTGTGTTATATGGTGTCATTTCTTCCTACTTCCTACTTCCTACTTATCTGTTTCCTCTCAGTATTGATAAATATATATTCAGTAAAAAGGTTTCGCGTACTGCTTCGCTAAACGTGCACCTGGTGATTGGTACTTTATCTTAAGAATTACTAGATTTTAGTGTCCACTAAATATATCAAGAGGTGATTTTTGGTTTAACTTTTATATAGAAAAAATAATACTAGCTAGCTTTAGTTATTTGTGTTATAAAATCTTTAGTAAATGTGGATGTCCACTACTCCTACTACTTTCACTCATGATGTAAATAACCTCCAACTACTCATCACCATTATCATTGTAACTCCCACACCTCCATAACCCCTCCCCATGATCTTCTCCCATGATCTCAATTGTTAATGTCATGTTTAAGACAATTATTTTGTAACCTTCATATGTAATAGTATAAATAGAGGCATGAAATGTGAGATGGAATGCACTTGAACACTTGATGAAATAAGAAAGTTATCTCTTCTTCTCTTATTCTACTTATCTTCTTGTTTTATATTGTTACTTTGAGCTACATTTCTTAATACGTTATCAGCACGAAGTTGAGCTCTTTTCGTTGTTCAGGTATATTTGTTCATTTTGTTTTCTTCTTTGTATATTTTGATTTCATGATTAGTATCTTTAATATGCAGTTTTATAATTTCTCACATCTCTAGCTATATGTAAAAATAAAGAATTCTATATTTCTTTATTTTAAGTTATTTGTATGATTGTCATGTGAAAGTTGCTAATTTTCATGTTAATAGAATTAACTGAGAGAAGAATACTTATTTTATGTTGTACGACATTTGAAATTGTGTTAAAGTTAGAAGACATTTTTGTTCTAGTTAACATCAAAGATATACTAATAATTTGAAGAAACAAATAGTAATCTTTTCTATGGAATTATCACTTTAGTGTATATAGATCACAAATTTAATATTATGTCAATTTTTAAGATTCTTTACGCAATTATCCTAATGATTTCTAATTATTTATCATCTTTGATAGTTTTCACTATGTCGAATTTGTCAAAGCTTGAGTTTGTGGCACTTGACATTTCTGGAAAGAATTACCTATCATGGGTTCTCGATGTTGAGATTCACTTAGCCGCTAAAGGTCTTGGTAACACCATTACTCAGGGTAATGAGGCATCAAGCCAAGGCAAAGCGAAAGCCATGATTTTCCTTCGTCATCATTTGGATGAAGGTTTGAAGGTTGAATATTTGACAGTGAAAGATCCACTTGAATTGTGGACTGGCTTGAAGGAAAGATATGATCACCTTAAGGCAACGGTATTGCCAAGGGCTCGATATGAGTGGATGCACCTATGGTTGCAAATTTTAAGACCGTAAGTGAGTATAACTCTGTTGTATTTCGAATAACTTCGCAGTAAAAATTATGTGGGGATGTTATGAATGATGAGGATTTGTTGGAAAAGACTCTTACGACTTTTCATGCCTCATATATGGTATTACAGCAGCAATACCATGAAAGGGGTTTCAAAAAGCATTCTGAATTGATCTCATGCCTTCTGGTGGCTGAGCAACATAATACCCTTTTGCTGAAAAATCATGAAGCCCGTCCCACAGGGTCAGCTCCGCTTCCTAAAGCGAATATGGCAGCTAGACGTGATAAGTCTTGAAAAAGGCAGAATAATAATCATGGCCATATGAATGTACGTGGGCATGGAAATGGTAAGAGACGATATAATAGTCGTCATCGTGGTGTTCATGGCATACGAGAGAACAATATGGGTTCTCAAAACAATCCTCTAAGAGGCAAAAGCGGTAACTGCCACCGCTGTGGCATGAAAGGTCATTGAAAAATTGAATGCCGTGCACCTGAGCATTTTGTCAGGCTTTATCAAAACTCCATCAAAAGAAAGGCAAATAATGTTGGAGCATCTTCTGCTAATGCCCCAGTGGAGTCTCACTTGACCTTTAAAAATGATTTTGAGGCAGGGCCTTCAAACAAAAATGATGACAATGCCGAGGCAAATCTTGCTTTGAATGATGATGATTTTCAAGGCCTCGAAGATCTTACTCATTTGGAAGTTGAAGATTATTTTGGAGATTAAAACTAAAGTTTGATTATTTTACTGGGGAATGCAATTATGTTGTTATTTTTATTTTCAGTGTTTTTGTCTTGTTTAAAGTTGTTTTTATTTTCAAGTAGTACTTAAGTTGTCTTATGTTGTCGTTGGTGATGTTAGTTTTCCGTATTTCTCATGATGTACTTTTACTTTTTTATGAAGAAATTAAAATTCCTTAGTCTTCAATTGGATCCAAGATGAGTAATGAAGATTTATGTCTTTTGGATAGTGCTACAACTCACACAATATTAAGAGAAAAGAAATTTTTCTCTTATTTGGTTATGAGAAAGGCCTATGTTAATATAATATCTGGTAGTACAAAGTTGATTGAGCGCTTTGGAAGAGCGGCCTTATTACTATCTGGAGGAACAATATTAACTATTGATAATGCATTGTATTGTAGTAAGTCTCAAAGAAACTTGTTGAGTTTCAAAGCTATTCGCCAAAATGGCTACCATGTTGAGACATCAAACGAAGGAAAGATTGAATACCTTTATATTACTACAATAAAAGCGGGGAAAAAATATGTGCACGAAAAATTACCCGCATTTTCTTCTGGGTTGTACCGCACAAACATTGGTGTCGTTAAATCACATGCCATTGTAAATAAAAATTTTACTACTTCTAATGATTTTATCATTTGGCATGACCGGTTGGGCCATCCCGGTTCTAACATGATGCGCAGAATAATAGAGAATTCAAATGGGCACACATTGAAGAACGAGAAGATTCTTCAATTTAATGAATTCTCTTGTGCTACTTGTTCTCAAGGAAAATTGGTTATGAAACCATCAGCAGCTAAAGTTGGGATTGAATCCCCTGCATTTCTGGAACGCATACAGGGTGTATGTGGGCCTGTACACCCTCCATGTGGACCATTCAAGTATTTTATGTTCTTGATAGACGCATCTACAAGATGGTCACATGTGTGCTTATTGTCCACTCGTAACATGGCATTTGCGAGATTGTTGGCTCAAATAATAAGGTTAAGAGCACAATTTCCAGATTATGCAATTAAGACAATTCGTCTTGATAATGCTGGTGAAGTTTACATCTCAGGCCTTTATTGATTATTGTATGGCCACCGGAATAAAAGTTGAGCGTCCGGTTGCTCACGTTCATACTCAAAATGGTCTAGCAGAATCATTGATTAAACGCCTCCAATTAATATTTAGACCGTTGCTAATGAGGACAAAACTTCCCATATTAGTGTGGGGACATGCTATTTTGCATGCAGCAGCACTTGTGCAAGGCCAACCAGTTATCATGAAGTCTCCCCATTACAGTTGACTTTTGGTCAGGAGCCAAATATTTTCCATCTAAGAATTTTTGGACGTGCGATATATGTTCAAATTTCTCCACCACAACGCACAAAGATGGGTCCCCAAAGAAGGTTGAGAGTATATGCTGGTTATGAATCTCCTTCTATTATTAAATATTTAGAGCCTATGACTGCAGATTTGTTTATAGCCAGATTTGCTGATTGTCATTTTGATGAATCAATTTTTCCAACATTAGGGGGAGAAAATAAACAGCTGGAAAAAGAGATAGATTGGAATATATTTATGATGACCCAAAAGGTCATCACTTATTTTAAAAATAAATTTTGCATTCCGAGGCACTAAAAACCTCTTTCAACATCACCTCGATTTACGTGCGCGGTCCGGGCGCGTAGCCGGGAAGCTATTATGTGAAAATCTGTGAAAAATGATGAATTTTGACTTTAAAATGAACTTAAGTTGACTTCGGTCAACATTTTAGGTAAAACGGACCCGGACTCATGATTTGATGGTCCCGGAAGGTCCGTAGAAAAATATGGGACTTGGGCGTATGCCCGGAATCGAATTCCGAGGTCTCAAGCCCGAGAAATGAATTTTTAAAGAAAATTGTTTTCTGGAATTATTTATGAGTTTTGGAAATGAAATGAGTTTAAAATTTTATGGTATCGGGCACGTATTATGATTCCGGAACCCGGTACAGGTCTTATATGTGAATTAAGATGAGTCTGTGAAAATTGGTAAGAAACGGAAGTCGTTTGAGGTGATTCGGCCCCGTAGTTGTGAAAATTGATTTTTGGAAGTTTTGAGACTTTTCTTAGATTTCTATGCTAAATTCGTCGTTTGAGAGGTTATTTTGGCGATTTGATCGCACGGATAAGTTCATATGATGTTTTTGAGTTAGTATGCATGATTGGTTTGGAGCCCCGAAGGCTCGGGTGAGTTTCAGGTAGGTTCCGGGGTGTTTAAACTTAGGAAAACACTGTTGTTGCATCAGCTCTGGTGTAACCGCACCTGCGAATCGTGCACCGCAGGTGCGAGCTCGCAGGTGCGCATAGTGGCTCGCAGGTGCGGTCTCGTCTCTCGCAGAAACGGACAAGCTTTCGCAGAAGCGGTTCCGCAGGAGCGGGTCCCTTCTCGCAGATGCGGCCCGAGCGGGCCTAGTCATTTCCGTAGAAGCGATCACTTTTCCGTACGTGTGGTCACGTAGGTGCGACCCAGGCACCGCAGGTGCGGAAGTCGCGCAGTGGAGTCTTTTAAAACATAACTTCAGCGATTTCTCTTCCAAATTTTCATAAAAATAGAAGACCTAGGGCGATTTTCTCAAGAGATTTTCTTCCCAAATCACAAGTAAGTGTTCATTAACTGATTTCTTTCAACTCTCTAATGTTTTTCATCAACTTTTATCAATAATCTTAGGGTTTTAATGATAGAAAATTGGGGATTTGGGTAGAGTTAGGTCTTCTTCATTAATTGGGATAAAGACCTCGTTTCGGGGTCGAATTTCTAAACTTATTGCATATTTGGGCTCGTGGGTGAATGGATGAACGGGTTTTGGTCCGAACCTTGAGTTTTGACCAAGCGGGCCCGGGGTCGATTTTCGACTTTTGGGGGAAAATGATGGAAAACCCATAATTTAGCCTTGGGATTAGATTATTTAGCATTTATTGATGTTGTTATATTAATTTGAATTAGACACAAGTAATTCGGAGGCGAATTCTAAAGGAAAAGCGGTATTTGAGGCTTGAGTTGGCCGTGGAAGTTCGAGGTAAGTGTTTGATCTAACCTTATCTTGAGGGATTAGGAGTTGTGTCCTATTTGCTACATGTTACTTGTTGAGTACGACGTATAGGCATGGCGACGAGTATCTATACATTGGTGTCAAGCATGACCGTGAGTCTTAAATTGAAATTGTTGTGTTCTTAAATAATACTACGGATGCGTAAGTTGATGATTCTCTGTACTGAGCAAGGATTATGATTATTCTCGTGAAAATTACTTATGATTGAGTATTGGTGATAGTTGAGGTAGTTAGATGTTGGAACAAGTTTGGTTATAGTTGTTTCTCCCTTGCCGGGATGTATTTACTTATACTGTCGATTCCCTTGTCGGGATAGCGTTGTTTCTTTATTGATCCCTTGCTGGGACTCTACTTGTGCATTGGTATTGAACTGTATATGTGGATCGGGTTGCACGCTGCAACAGTAATAAATGATATGGATCGGGTTGCACGCCGCAACAGTAATAAATGATATGGATCGGGTTGCACGCTACAACAGTAACAAAATGATATGGATCGGGTTGCACGCCGCAACAATAGAAAACACGAATTGTTTATAGATTGGTTGCGAGTTCTTCATTGCTTTGCTGTAGATTCTAAACTGTTCCTTATGCCTTTCTCTTTAATTACTGTTGGTATTGATATTCCCCCGCAGCATGTACCCCCTCCCGTCTTTACTTGTTTATTCCTGTTTTAGTTTTCGCCGCATATTATATAACTGCACAGGTTTATTGGGTAGTCTGGTCCTAGCCTCGTCACTACTTTGCCGGGGTTAGGCCAGGCACTTACCAGCACATGGGGTCGGTTGTGCGGATACTACACTCTGCACTATGTGTAGATCTCGGAGAGGTAGCTTTTGGACCGTAGCATTGGGTGGCTGCCTTCTGTCCAGCTAGAGATCCCGAGGTAGTCCTCCGGGCGTCCGCAGGCCCGGCGTTCTCTTCTATCTTTATATGTATTCTGTTTTCATCTACTTCCGAGACAGACAGTACTTTTCTTTCAGACGTTTGTATGTAGTATTCGTAGACAGTCCGTGATATTGTGACACCGGATTCCGGGTAGAGATCTATGTTGGCGTAGTTGTACTGTTTATGGTTAATTTATCAAATTAAATCTTCCGCTTGTTTCTATTTATCGTTAATGTTTCAATGTTGATCACATGTTAGTTTAAATTGTTAAAAAGAGCTAATGAATGAGTTAGAAATTCTATAATACGCGGCTTGCCTAGCTTCCACGAGTAGGCGCCATGACGACTCTCGAGGGTGGGAAATCCGGGTCGTGACAAGTTGGTATCAGAGCTCTAGGTTACCTAGGTCTCACAATTCACGGACAAGCTTGGTAGAGTCTGAGGGATCGGTATGTAGACGTCTGTATTTATCCCCCAGAGGCTACAGAGTTAGGAAAAACTTCACATTTATTCTTTCTTGTCGTACGGTTTGGTTTTCTCAATGCTAATTGAATTTCTACTATGTTCTTTTGCAGAAGGCGAGAAC